CAGTCATTCAGCTACAGTCTGAGCTCACAAAAATAAATCCAGGACCAGAGTCCAGAGACCAGAGTTCTTACCAGACTTCACCATCCCCTCCTTGGGCTGTGGTGGGCTGCTGATCCTCTTCAGATCCATCTGGTACATCGGAACTTGTCTCAGTGATCCTCATGTGTTTCACTGAGTCCTCGTCCTCAGCTGAATCAAGCAGAGTGTAAAACAGCAGTCACATGATCCTCACTGTTCCCCTCCTCCTCCTCCTCCTCTCAGCAGTTTCCCACGCTGCCGTCTGCTTCACTCCATGCTCCATGGGTTTGCACTGATAGAGTTGAGTGTAGGACGTCCTGTGACCTGATGGTGGTGCTGACAACTCAGGGGCAAACAGGCCCATCCTCTGGAAATGAGCTCAGATCATTTCAGCTGTTCTGACTGTGATATTTCGTGGGTGCAGGACAAACACGTTTAGCCTGAGAATCAGACTGAATCATCACCATGAATCATGAGAGAAAACGAGGCAGGATTACTGAAGTGGGACTAAGGGGTCCTGAACCTGCTCAGGGCTCCAGCGTCCCCAGACTCACTGGTGTTAGTTACTGTTTGTCTTTAAATGCACATTTGCTGAGGAAGTTGAACCATTCAGCATAGGTCAGCTCAGGAGGCCCTGCTGATTTATGTCTTCTGAGGCTCTTTAGCAGAGAAGCAACATTATTTAGTAGAATAAAAACTATTTATCAAACTTGGATGAAGGATGAAGCTGTGTTAACATATGATCACACCATGTTTTAACCCTCCGCTGTCTGTGAATGTAAAGTTAATATCATCTTCAGATATCAGGCTGCAATTACTCCTGCTAGACTCAGGTCACATCCAGGATATAGTCTGGACCAGAGGACAACGTGTCTCCAGTGAGACGGTTTCAGGAGGGGACGCTGCTGCTTCTTGACCTGAACAGTTTCTCCTCACTTTAGTGGAATCATGTTAGAATAGTCTTCATTCTCATCACTGCACACACATCTGACATTAGAGTCACATGATTCATGGTCACTGCATCAGATTCACTGTGCATTTGATCCAGGTGACTACTTTTACACCTCAGAGAACTGCAAACTTTAGCCAGGTTTACCCAGATTTTTGGACCCTGTTCCACATTTTATCCACAAATAAAACAGGAGGCTGGAACCAAAGCTGGACATATTTCAGTTAATGTTTTAAATGTGTGTGCTTAGCAGTTGACCTTTTCAAGCCTCAGGAAGCAGCAGAGGGTTCAGCGGCTCCTCAGCAGGCTTACTACAGTCGGGCCCACACTGAACAGCCAATCCACAGGTCAGACTCCCACAGACCGCCATTGTTCTCTGGGTGGACGTTAACCCAAGAGAGGCAAACTCACCTCTGCCAATTGGCTGCTTTCCATTCTTTGCAAACTGCTGTTTCAGTGGGGGCTCGTGGTCCAAACTGTACGCCCTCTGCAAGAGATGCACATGAGAAAGGAAATAAACAACAGAGCGTTGGATAAATACACTGAAATCTACCAACATGGATGTGTTTCATCATGAGCACTGCAGTGACATGAGCCTGGAGACAGTTAAAATCTGGAAATCTACAGGCACCATGCCACTATAACTACCGTTCAGTCAGGGAACGTCCAGCCAAGTCGAGTCAGGTCCCATTCAGTCAGGTGGAGTCAGAATGATTAGTGGCAGTGTCCTCAGTGTCAGAGAGTAAGGTGGAGTCGAGCCTCCAGGTGTGTGGTCCTAAACAGGCTCAGCACGGCGCTACGGTAGCCCTGAGGGCCAAAGGTGTCAGTCAGTCATGTCCTGCTGATTAAAGCTGAACATAAAGGTGATGCCTTTGTCAGTGCCAGACCCAAAGTGCAATGCTGTGGTCAAGATTTCACAACAGCATTTTGAAGAGAATCCAGCCCATTTCCTCCAGAGCGTCATGACTGCTGTTATTATTAGCTGTGTACAAATCTCATTCTAGCAGAGTGATTACAGGACAAAACAGCAGGATTTCTCCAGTTGATGTTTTCTTCTGATTCACATGATCTCAGCCCCTCCTCCTCCTTAACCCCCCACCCCCCGTGTTTCTCGGCGTTTCTCGGCTGTCACACTCAAGGTAGGTTGGACAGCGTCCTCTCTGAGTGAATGGACTTTGTATTGGTTGCTAGGAGAGACTTCATCAGGCTCCAACATGGTGACAAGGCTTTCACTGTCTCATAGACTCCCCCCCCAATCAGGCCTGAATGAGGAAGAGGAGGAGGGAGTCTGTGCTGTGGAGGTGACATGAATACTGTTCACTGCAGGATGAAGGCTGATCTGAGAATAGATTCCCTGCTGCTCCCAGTCTTCCCTCTGAAGAAGAAACTAGATCCAGCAGCAGGTTAAAGGACCGGTCCAACATCTCTCGTCCATAAAGCGTAAAGTCAGGAAACAGCTGGCCTGCCCCCCATGTGCCCCGCTCTCCGTTCACAGTGTCTGGGATAAAGCTGCAGTCACCAGGATGGTGGGAGGAAAAACTGTGCTCCATGTTCAACCTGGTGAAATGCAGTGCTGTAACAGTAACTCGGTACATTTACTAACATACTCTTCTTAAAGACAGCCTTACTTGAGTATTTCCATTTTTTGCTACTTCATACTTGTACTTCACTGCATTTCAGAGGTAAATATTGGTAAAATGGTAAATGGACTGTATTTTATATAGCGCTTTCTCACAGTGTGTTGCACTGGCCAAAGCGCTTTACAGAGATGATACACCATTCACCCATTCACACACAACATTCACACACTGATGACGACAAGCTGCCATGCACCGGCGCTAGTCAAGCCACCAGGAGCAATTTGGGGTTCAGTGTCTTGCTCAGGGACACTTAGGCATGCGGGGAGACCGGGAGTCGAACCACCAACTTGCTGGTCAGGAGACGACTGCCCTACCTCATGAGCCACAGCCACCCCACCAAATATTGTACTTTTTATTGCAATACCTGTATTTGATAACAGAGCAGTTTAATAACAAGACTAAAAATAACCCAAATAAGAGAAATTCTCTCGTTTTTGCACAGTTGTATGATGGGACAGTTCTTCACACAGCAGAGGTCAGCTGGTTTTTGGCTCTGTGACCTCCTGGTGCCATCTGCTCAATTTCAGGCTGCAGGATGAGGGGTGGCCTGAGGACACTCTGACCTCTGCTGGACAAACAGCTGCATTGCACATGGAGAGGATCCAGTAAATTCACCCTGCAGTCCAGTCTCATGCCTCTGACATCCTGTTTCCCTGATTCCTCTCTCCTCACATTTTGTCTTCACATCTTACGTGGGCAGGATTAAGACACAAAGAAAAGATGCAGGTGAGGGACACGCAGACCCATCCAGAGACATGAGACGTTGGACATTTTCCAATATGTCTACTTCTCTGTACTTGCATAATTGTGGACTTGTAAAACATCACCAGTCACAACCTGAGTACTGTTCCAATTCAAAGTCTTGAACCATTTTATTGTGGATGCTTTGGGAGCTGACTTGCGTGGACTTGGGGCAGCCACATGTCCCAGAATCCATTGCATGCCAGCTATCAAAGTTTGTGCCAGGCATAAAGCTGTTATGATTTTTGACATGGGATTATGCCGCTTTATAACATTCAGATTTTTTTCCCACTTAGATTGAGAATATGTGATCAGTTTATCGAGTAATGCCGATTAAATTAAATTTTCAGTTCAATGTTATTTGTATAGCGCCAAATCACAACAAAAGTCATCTCAGGACACTTTACAAAGGAAGGTCTAGATTTTACTATTATTATTATTATTATTATTATTATAGACGAAAAACCCAACAAATCCCCCTTGAGCAGCACTTGGTGACAGCAGGGAGGAAAAACTCCCTTTAATGGAAGAAACCTCCAGAAACCTCCCTAACTACCACTAAGGGAAGGCTCAGGGTCACCTGATCCACCCTAACTATAAGCTTTATCAAAAAGGAAAGTCTTAAGTCTAATCTTAAAGGTAGAGAGGGTGTCCGCCTCCTGAACTGAGACTGGGAGCTGGTTCCACAGGAGATTTAAAAATTTGCTCTGATGCTTCCAGATGGACCAGCTAACTATAATTATCAGGCAGCTAAATCTCATTCAGAGTTTGTTAGCAAGACAGCTACTGTTCCAATTGTACACTGAATGGACTGCGTCCTCCTGTTCTTGTGAGTTTGTACTTAAAGTTCAAACTTACCAAGTCCAAAACCCTAAGTACGGGAGTCCAAACTTGGCATACTAGGTATTGAAAAACTTCTGTCCTTTCCTCCAATCCTTCATCTGAAATGTCTAATCACCAACTGAGTTCTCACCCATAAAAGACTTCTGTGACGCATGCTCTCCTCTCATTTCTTTAAGCATGACTAGCTTCTCTCTGGACTTCCCTGATATCAGACATCTTTCTGTTTCTTCTTTAATGTCTGTTTGCTATTATGTGATACCCCCTGTCCTCTCCTTCTTCTCTGGTTTCAGTATTTTTATCTGCAGGATTTTCTCTGGTTGCCTTAATCTGCCTCTCTTGTCTGAACTGGATTTACCCGACTGAAGATCCACAGACACAGACCTGATCTGACCCTGGATCTGTCATGTTCACATGTGTTCCTCATTCTGCTTCTTCTTCTCCTTCTTCTTAATGAGCACTGTTATGTGACTCGACTGATATTTTTTCTCTCAGGTCCAATTCAGGTCCTCGCACATGACTTCACAGAGACCAGGACCTGGGCTTGTCAAGACCAGGCCAACACTGCTTGCTAGCAGACACAACTCACAGAGAGGCCCACTGTAACTTTCATGTCATAATATCTCTCCTGTGTTTGTCTCTTTATTCTGGAAACACAAAGGTGAAGTGCGGAGCCGTATACAGGGATTTCACTGGAGTCTAATTACCTGTGAACGTTTCATTAAGTTTAAACATTGTGTAGAGGTAACTGAAGAATCCAGCTCAAGCTTTCACACTTTTTATGCTCTATTTGTGTGTAAATAGTCAAACTATATTTTTATCACCTTAAACTGCTCTATAATCAAAGGCCTATTTTAAAGCAGGACTACTGGGTGGTTGTCAGTGTCAGGTCCTGCTCAGACGGTCATGCAGCAAAATCATGCACATCTGTACAAACATATTTTTTCACATGGTTCTGCAGAATAATGTCCAACTTCTTACTTTAAAGCTGCATTAACTCAGATCCCCCCCAGCCTGATAACCCCAGCGACAGTGGGACAGGACATGGTGTCTCTCAGCTACACACCCCCCTCCATGACCCTCTGCTGCCTACAGCCTCCTGTTGTTATTCCAGCTTCTCCACCCTGTGTTGTCAAAGTACAGTCTGTAAATCAGCCCCGCCTGCCGCCTAACCAAGGTTATGTTAGAAATTAATAAATTAGTCAAATAATTATTAGACATTAATGTGTTAGACTTTAATGTGTTAGTAATGCAATTTAGTAAGATTCAAAGTCTGCTCTAGCCTGCTTTGCTTCAAGGTTAGAAGACAGTGTTGATTCTGATAAGTGTACCTTGATGCTAATTGTTTTCTTGTATTAATCTTGTGTTAGATT